AGAATGCCTTCAATGTCATTTTGGCATTTCTAGTGCCCTGCATAGCTTGGTAGGATTCTTTACCCTTCCAGGTTACAGCAATCCCAGCTTTTCTCACAGAAAAAAAACCCTATTCTCTTTGTTTAACATTAATTTTAAAAGATACTGTAGTAGAACTTAACATAAGGAGATACTTTTTATTTCTACATTTATGAACATATTTCTTCATCTATTAATTAGGATAATACAACTTGCTCCTTATTGTTTGTGGAAGGCTGGGGGAATTCTTACTAGTAGTAAGAATTAAAAAAATAACATTGAGTATCTACTATTTCTAGGCATCATGGAAGGATGGCACTTTGTCTTGCATTATCTTACTTAATCCTAACAAAACTCTGTGAGGTTTGTTTGTTTTTTAAAGATTTTATTTAAGGATGCCTGGGTGGCTCAGTTGGTTAAGTGTCTGCCTTCGGCTTGGGTCATGATCTTTTAAAGATTTATTTATTTATTTTGAGAGAGTGAGAATGAGAGAGAGAGAGAGTACATGAGATAGGGGAGGGTTGAAGGGAGAAGCAGGCTCCTCGCCGAACAGGGAGCCCGATGCAGGACTCGATCCCGGGACTCCAGGATCATGACCTGAGCCAAAGGCAGTTGCTTAACCAACTGAGCCACCCAGGTGCCCAGGTCATGACCTTTTAAAAAAAGATTTTATTTATTTATTAGAGAGAGAGAGAGAAAGCACAAGCAGGGGGAGCGGCAGAGGCAGAGGGAGAAGCAGGTTCCCTGCTGAGCACTAGATCCCAAGACCCTGGGATCATGACCGGAGCTGAAGGCAGACGCTTAACCGACTGAGCCACCCAGGCATCCCAAAACTCTATGAGGTATTATCTACTTTTTTCAAAGACTTAGAGAAGCTCAAAAATTTATGGTTTACAGTGCTGGTATATGGTAATGCAAGGTCTGAATCTGAAACCTTGATTTTCATTACTCTACTTTAACTTAGGAGAAAGATGAAAATGTTGTGAAGTCCTTTATTTGCCCTCAGGTCCTTCAACAATTGAAACCCACTTTTGTGCGCCTCTCCTTGTCAAATTCCGGCCCCGTATGCTTCAGTAATATAGGCCCACATGTAATTTCCGTAGAGTCCTGTTCTCTCAAGTTTCTGGGTCTTTGTTTATGATGTTTTCTCGGCCTAAAATTTCATTATCCTGCTACTACCAGAGTAGCTGCCCTACTCCTACTCATTTTTCAAGTCTCAGTTTAAACTACTCCACACTGTTACATGGTCAATTAATCTTTGACAAAGGAGGCAAGAATATGTGATGGGAAAAAGACAGTCTCTTCAACAAATGCTGTTTGGAAAACTAGAGAGCCACAAGCAAAAGAATGAAATTGGACCATTCTCTTACACCATAATGAAAAAAAAACCCCTCAAAAATGGATTAAGGACCTAAATGTGAGACCTGAACCCATAAAAATCCTAGAAGAAAGAGCAGACAATAATTTCTCCAACATCAGCTGCAGCAACATTTCTCTAGATATGTCTCCCCAGGCAAGGGAGACAAAAGCAAACATAAACTATTGGGACCACATCAAAATAAAAAGCTTCTGCACAACAAAGGAAGCAATCAACAAAACTAAAAGACAACCTACTGAATGAGAGAAGATATTTGCAAATGACCTATCTGATAAAAGATTAGTATTTAAAATATATAAAGAACTTATATAACTCAACACCAAAAACAAAATAATCCAATTAAAAAATGGGCAGAAGACATGAACAGACATTTTTACAAAGAAGACATACAGATGGCCAACAGACATGAAAAGATGCTCAACATCACTCATCATCAAGGAAATACAAATCGAAACCACAATGAAATATCACCTTATACTTGTCAAAATGGCTAAAATAAAAAACACAAGAAACAAGTGTTGGTGAGGATGAGGAGAAAAAGGAACCCTCGTACACTATTGATAGGAATGCAAACTGGTACAGCCACTGTGGAAAACAGAATTGATATTCCTCAAAAAATTAAAATAGAATTACCCAACAATCCAGTAATCCTACTACTGGGTAAATACCAATAGTATTTACCCAAAGAATATGAAAACATGGGGCACCTGGGTGGCTCAGTCGTTGGGCGTCTGCCTTCGGCTCAGGTCATGATCCCAAGGTCCTGGGATTGAGCCCCGCATCGGGCTTTCTGCTCCGCAGGAGGCCTGCTTCTCCTTCTCCCTCTGCCTGTTGCTTGTGTTCCCTCTCTTGCTGTGTCTCTCTCTGTCAAATAAATAAAATCTTAAAAAAAAAAAGAATATGAAAACACTAATTCAAAGGGATATATGCATCCCTATGTTTATTGCTGCATTATTTGCAATAGCCAAATTATGGAAGCAGCCAAAGTGTCCATCGACTGATGAATGGATGAAGAAGTGATATATGTGTATATATATATATATATATATATATATGCATATACACACACAATGGAATATTATTCAGCCATAAAAAGAATGCAATCTTGCCGTTTGCAACAACATAGATGAATCTAGAGTATAATACTGAGCAAAATAAGTCAGTCAGAGAAAGACAAATACCATGATTTCGCTCATATGTGGAATTTAATAAAACAAATAAAGTAAAAAAACTAAAAACCAGACTCTTAAATATAGAGAACAAACTGATGGTTACCAAAGGGGGATGGGTGCAATAGTGAAGGGGATTAAGAATACACTTATCTTGATGAGCACTGAGTAATGTATAGAATTGTTGATCACTATATTGTACACCTAAAACTAATATAACACTGTATGTTAACTGTACTGGAATTAAAATTTAACAAATAAACTACTCTGCCATGCTCCCATCACTCTTGATATACTCACAATGGCAAGTATCTTACTATGTCATCACCTAAATTGTGAGCAGCTTGAGGGAGTCAGGGTTATTTTCACTGTTGCAGGGCTTTTCAAAGTAGCTGTTTCCCAGTTGGCATTCAATTAAATATTGATAGAATGAACAAATGAAAGTATGCACAAATAACTTATGAATTCATTCACAGAACTCATTAAGGATTTGTGAAGGGACCTGTATTACTTTATTCCACATAAGCCTAAAAGTGACCAGAAATGAAAACTTTTCATCCTCTTATATTAAAATTTTTCAACATATCTTTATTATTTTTTTTTCCAGAATATAGTATCTGGAACACAGTAGTAAATACATATTTGTTGAGTTAGTGAAGAGTCCTAGAAAAGTACACAAATATACAAAGTCTTTATAATCTAATGCATATTCTTCCCTCCAGACTCACTATGTGCCATTTCTACTTTATCCTGTAATAATGAGTAACAGTATGTAATTTTCATTCATGCATCAAATATTTATTGTCACTATTATGTGCCAGGCACATTGGTCCACTGTTTCAAATAGCTTTGTTTCTTTCTTGCTATTCTCTCTTCCTGGACATTTAAGAAGCCATTCAGCAAATACGTCATTTATTGTGGTTTTCCTACCTTCCTTCCTTCAGTTCAGTTAGTTACCTCCCGGAAAAGGCTGTCCCTGATATCGTTGGTACTCAGTGCTTGCTTCCATCTTAGCCCTCATTACATCAAAGTGAAATGATCTGTGTCTATGTTTGTTCCCTGCCCCCGTCCCTATCCCGCAATACCGAGGTATTGCTTTCAGAGGGCAGGGATGGAGGTTTTGTTCACCTATGTGTCCCCGGGGCCCAGCACAGAATTTAGGACAGGGAGGACAGGGCCAAAACCCTATATCTAAGTATTGAAAGAATTCCCACAATAAGTGAGTTATGTATTATCTCCAAATTATAGATGATAAAAGGAGGCTTGAAAGGGTTTAGAAAAGTTTTAGAAGAGCCCAAGGTCACACAGTGGTAGAGCCTGTTGTCAAAGGAATTTGAAGAATGAAGCCATCATTGGTTCTAAATGAATAAAACTCCTTCCCACCATCTTTTCTTGAAATTTTCGTTTAGATTTTGTATTCTTTCCTTCTATAGCCTAATGACTCCTCGACCACCATAATATTATGAGTGGGGACAATACCCCCTTTTTTTTCATATTGAAAATTGTTTGACCTCTCTCTGGAAGCAACGTGATTTTAAAACTTTCTGAACTCACACACTCGTTCCGGGGTAGAATCTGCATTGGAGTCTTGGGGGGACGTGATAGGTCCCACGAGAAGGGTCATTCGAAATGGAATGCGGGGACTAAGAGTTTTTCTCTGGACAGGATTCACAGAAGGAGCAGGGGGAGGATGGATCTCATTTTTGATGCACAAATCCTGAGACTTGTGGGAATTTGGTTGTTCACACCTAAGGCGGCGGTAGGGGACTGTGTTGCCCACAGTTAAGATGACTGCAAATGAACATCTCCTTCGGATGGGTCTGTTCTCTTCGTTCATTGGTATTTTCAATGAGAAGTATAGTGAATAAAATTTAGTAAAAGTTGGTGTCTTCTTACCAAGATGGTAACGTAGGAAGTTGGCACGTTTTGTTTGGAAAACCTTTAACAGGTCAAATTTTCTCTTGCCCTTAACCAAAATGGTCGTAAAGGTTATCCTATGGTTTGAAGCTTCCAGCCCTTAACTAACATGGCGTCTGGAGCCCGTTAAAAATTAGCCTGCCCTCTTTTATGCCCTTAACCATCATGGCCTCCACGGCGTCTAACACGTGACGACCCGGACTACGGCGCGGGAGAGGGGGTAGGAGGGCCCTTGAAGGGTGCGCGTTCCCGTGGCGGTGCACCGGGTAGGTTTCAGTCAGAGTCACTATGGCGGCCGGCGCTGGCAAGGTAAGGTGAGGCGGCGGCAGCGGCGAGGGAGGCTGGGCCCGTTGTGGCGTCCTGGCTCTAAATCCCCGCAGCTCGTCCGCGGAGAGGTTGGCCGAGGTCGTGGCCAGTCGCGGAGACTGGCGGGGGGCGGGTTGAAGGGGGTGCGGGCTAAGGCGGGCGGGCACCGGCGCCTGACGGCCGTTTGTTTTCATGTTTTCCCCACCAGGTCGGAAAGTTTCCTGCCTTATCGGGCACAGCCTGAGCGTGTCCCACCGGCCGCGAGTGGTGGAGGCTGCGGCGGACCCAGCCCGGGGCCTCCAGGCCTCTCCCCCAATCTCCGGGCCAGCCTCCCTCCCCCACCTCCTCGTCCGCTGGGAGCTGTGGCTGCCGTCCCTGAGATGCGACCCTCGCGGGGGCGACCCTGAAAGAAGGCGGCCGGTGTGCTGAGCAGCAGCCAGGAGCCCAGGCGTTCAGGGACCAACTTCCTGCGGGCCGAGACCCCTGAGCCTCCCGGGGTTGTGCCTCGCTCGGTCCGCACCGGCCTGCAGAGCCAGATCTCCGCCCTGGGCGCGGGGACGCCCGCCAGGTGCCCGGGAGTCCCGACTCGGCCGCTGCCCGCGCTTCTGCCTGTCCCCGCTCCTCGCGCCAAGGACCCCAGCCACTGCCGTCTCGGCTCGTGCCAGGGACCCCGTGCCACCTTCCGGGCGGTCTCCGCGCAGCAGGAGCAATGCAGACTGTCCCGCTGGCGGTCTAGACCCCCTTGCCGCCCCCCTCGCCTCTGCCGTTCCACTCCCCGAAGCCCTCGAAGAGGGGCGGTGGCTGCCCAGGGGTGCTCGGCTACACCTTCCTTCGGCCCGAGAGGACCTCCTGGCCGCACGGAACCGACCCTTCCTTCATGCTGCAGTGCTGCAACGTTTCCGCCACCGAGGGGGAAAAGCGGCCGCGATCCCAAACAAAACACAAGAATTGGTGTGTGACTCATCTGCTTGGATACCTCCAGTCCCCAAACTGTCTTCCAGGAGTTTTCTTGGCCGAAGCTGGCCGATGTTTGAGCCTTTTCTTCCCAGGGAAGAAGATGGACTGAAAGCTGCCCGTTGGGGACTTTGTGCGATCAGGGCACTGCTGGGTTTTAAAGGAGGTGATGGGGCTTGCGCTGGCTTGTCTTCCCACTCAAGTGAAGAGTTGTTGATGTTCACTGGTTATGCTTAGACAATGCGCAGTTTGTTTTAATTTAAAATTTTGGGGGGGATAGGGGTATAGGCTTGTGAAGGGCAGTCCGGATCCGGTGGAACTCCTCTTTGTACCTTGGTAGGAGAGACACCCCCAGTCTGTCCTCGATGCCGTCAGCCTTGGCCATCTTCACTTGCCGCCCGAACTCGCACCCATTTCAGGAGCGCCATGTCTACCTGGACGAGCCCATTAAAATCGGCCGCTCCGTGGCCCGCTGTCGACCAGCGCAGAATAATGCTACCTTTGATTGCAAAGTGCTGTCAAGGAACCATGCTCTCGTTTGGTTTGATCACAAGACGGGCAAGGTAATGTCACCACGTTATCTAACAATCTTTACTTTTCGTTTCCCTTTGCTCTTTTTGCATAATGTATGCAGGATCCCAGCGTTTGCACCCAGAGGAGACTTTCAGCAAGGCCATGGACCAACTTTTTCTGTGTCTGGTTCTATTGGAGATTAAGTTGAGGTGGTTGAATGGAAAACAGAAGGTATTGTAATTAAATGCCTCGGGAGGGCGATGACATCTTGATAATGTGGTCGTTCCCAGTGAAATCCCAAACCCTAATTCATTTTGGGAAAACTAGATAGTGAAACTTGGCTTCTTGCTTCCAGTCTTTTTAGAAAGGTGAATTTGCCGTTCAGTGCTTGAATAAGCAAGCAGCAGTTCCCAAAGCAATGCTGGGAATCTGTGGCCAGTATTACACTGGGGCTCAGGTGTCTCAGTGGTGAGATGTAGTTAACACAGCTTTTAGTTGAGTTCAGATCACGATCTTTCTAGTAAGGACAGTTGTTTGTGTGAATTTACAGTTTTGAAAGATTTGATACATATTTACACATGAAGGAGTAATTGGCAATTTTCAAAGCCAATTTCATTAAGCATGAACAACTGTAACTTTACATTTTCAGAGTTTTGTTTGCAAGTTGGGTGAACATATATGTATTGCTTTTGAAAATCACTTTTTGATGTTCCCTGCAAGAACTTATTAAAAATACTTAATGCATACTTACAGAGGTGATATTTAAAAATCAGTGTTAGGAAATTAATTTACTTTCTGAAATTATATCCAATTCTATCAAATAATTGCATTACCTAGATGTGATAGGATGAATTTAACACCCTTTATTTTTAAGTGTGATCCTTTTGCATTTTTAAGTTGGCACCCTAATTTACTATACATGTGGGTGCTTATATTTTAAGAATACAAGAAAAAAATTAAATAAGACCCTTTCAATTTTTAAAACTTTATGTGTGTGGAGAATATACTGAAGAACTCATTTTTGTGCTTTTACCTCAGGTTTTCGTTGAGATACTGAATCAGTTCCAACTTAGAGTAAGTTATGTAAGACTAATAGGAATACCTTGGGTTTCACCTCCTGACTTTTTGCTCCCTCTTCCTGAGTTAAATGATTAAGTCTTTTTTTAAAAGAAGAATTTAAGTTTTCAATAGTAGTATTTTGAAATGGAAGAAACCTGAGCCTCAGAAAAAAGAGAGAAAGCAATACTTCTGTTGCTACAGAATTAAGGAATTATTACAGAAATCATTTTTCAAAGAAAGGAGGAAAAGATTGCACTTGCATAATACCTATGCCCTGCTCTGTGTGTAAGATGAGAACTGAAAAATATGTTAATTTTTCTGTGTAACACCAGATGTTCATTTACCTATGGAACAGACCCTTTTTTCTCCCTAGAAACTAAAGTTTGGGTGTCTGAAAGACTTCATAGATTACCCATAGTCATTTAATGTGAGTATTCATAGAACTCTTTCCAGCTATCAAATTCAAACATCAGTTAACTGCTAGTGCCTTAACTCAACCAGCTTTGATCTTTTTGTCTAAGCTAAGGTCCAACTTAATCAAATAACAGGTTTGCTTAAAGTACATAATCTGCAAATGCACCTGCTTAACTTTGGTACCCTACTCAAAGGAGACTCAGATTTTTTTCTTTTACTTATTTAAAAAACAGTGATTACATGAGCAGTGCTTTTCATGGCTATACTAAAACCCCCACAATAGGTTATTTTGAGATGGCTTACGGGTGGATCCATAGTGAGTATTGTATGAATTGAGATGACATGTTAAAATTTTGAATGGATTTGTAATTAGAAAAACTTATCTTTAAAAGATACACAGCTTATTTCTACCATTTTCACTTTTTTCCTGCTCTAGCTAAAAACAGGATGTGAGGCCATTACTTAGGTATAGATATAATTATTGATTATTGCACAACCTAATCTAGTTAAAACAAATAACCTGTCAGATTTGCCATGTGATCAAATTGTTTTAGGAATAAAGTTATTTAAAATTTAGGTTTGCACAGACATATTTTTATTGAGCACCTATTATGTGCCAGGTATCCTGAGGCACAATTCCAAAGAAAACCCACAGTTTGACCAAATATCACTTACTGTTTTCTATGTGTGAAATTTCCAGTTTGAGGATTTCTGCTATAATTGTCTCCTGACAAATAAGTCATTGAGCCTAATATATATTCCCAGCAAATTCCTTTATACAATAACATAATCCCTTCCTATAAGCATCACCTCAGGCAAGTTTTTATTTTTCAAACATCTCATCTCTAAGCTTTAGTTTTCTGGGGATAATAGTGGTACCTACTATTGTTTTGAGGATTGAGATAATCATGTAAATTACTTAGCACCCTCTTTGTGGCCCTTATTAAGGGCTTAGTCCTTAGGGAGGAGGGTGTTTGAGGTGGGGGGAAGAGCAAACCATCTAGGCAGCTCTTTGCAATTTCTATAGTGCTGTGGAGTCCTAGGAAGGTAATGAGAATTGTTTTTTCTTTCATGTGATGGCATATGTAGAAGTAATCTTTTAAATTGAAACATATGAAGTTGAAAACTTTGTTCAAATTAGCACTTTCCCTGGGCGGTGGAGAATTGGAGTAATACGTACCCTTTGGTTGACTTTTACCTTGTGATTTTTGCATTCTGCACTGGCCATTATAGGAGACCCATTAAAAGCTGGAAAAAGTAATAAACACTTGAAACTTTCTGATATTCAAGTAATACATATTCATTGTAGAAAATCTGCAAAACAGGGCGCCTGGGTGGCTCAGTTGGTTAAGCAACTGCATTCGGCTCAGGTCATGATCCTGGAGTCCCGGGATCGAGTCCCACATCGGGCTCCCTGCTCGGCGGGGAGTCTGCTTCTCCCTCTGACCCTCTTCCCTCTTGTGCTCTCTATCTCATTCTCTCTCAAATAAATAAATAAAAATCTTTTAAAAAAAAAAAGAAAATCTGCAAAACATAGGCACATGGAAATCTAGGTGACACTTTTTTTTTTTTTAAGATTTTTTTAATTTATTTGACAGAGAGACAGCGAGAGCAGGAACACAAGCAGGGAGAGTGGGAGAGGGAGAAGCAGGCTTCCTGGCGAGCAAGGAGGCCGATGCGGGGCTTGATTCCAGAACCCTGGGATCATGATCTGAGCTGAAGGCAGACACTTAACGACTGAGCCGTGCAGGCGCCCCTAGGTGACAATTTTTAATGCTAAGTTTGTGGAGTGTGTTATGGTACCGAAAACCTGCAGGTTGGAGGGTGACAGGTTTGTCATAGAGTGGAATATAATACGTTTTCCCAAATCATCTATTCAGGGGTGTAGCAGTCCGTTATTGCCCTGCTTGGATGCTGACCCTGTGTATCATACTTCACTTCTCTTTGGAGGTCAAGCTCTTCAAATTAGATGGCATATAATAGAATGGTTATTAATCCTTCTTTTGACCAAGGTACCACTGAACAAGCAAATCTACCCATATGGTGGTTACATAGGAGTAGTGAGTGGACTGCCTCCTTCTGATTTGAGTCTCTGTGGACAGGTGATAGTCTAATGTTTGATGCAGTAGTCTCTTTCCACTCTCACTATAGTTTACTTAGGAATTAGTTATAAGTGATAGTAGTATTCTACTTCCATTTTCACTTTGTTTACTTAAATTCAATGCATATTTTTGAGCACCTGTTCTATAATGATCTGTTTTAATGGAGGGCACAGTGGTGAGAGGGAAGAAAACAAGAACTGGTTAGAAATTGTTATTCTTTCTGGGAGCTTATATTTTGGATACAGAGGGTGACTATACACCTTAATAACAGTTGATTGGGAAGGGCGCCTGGGTGGCGCAGTCTGTTAAGTGTCTGCCTTTGGCTCTGGTCATGATACCAGGGTCCTGGGATCGAGCCCTGTGTCAGGCTCCCTGCTCAGCAGAGAGTCTGCTTCTGCCTCTTCCCCAGCTCATGCTCTCCCTCACTCTCTCTCTCTCAAATAAATAAAATCTTCAAAAAAACAAACAACAGTTGATTGAAATAAAATAGTATTAAGTAAGTTTAAATGGCAAGGGTGATGGTGTTTGAATTAGACTTTACAATAGAAGTGGATAGGTACACCTTAAGAAAAGGTCTTTTTGGGTGGTTTTTGTATGTTTTGGGTGGATGAGAGTAGAATAAAACAGACAAGAGCAGGTAATTTTGAATGAGTTTGACATCTTCCAGTCACTGATGAAATTGATTTTGTTGGATTGGAGTTTTTTGGGGAGTATCTATGTGTGAACATCCATTCTGTGTGACGTTTTTATGTTTGTATCTCTTTTTTATAAGTAGTTGTCAGACTCTGGAAGAGAGGGTGTCTGCCTTATATGTCTGTTTCTTATTTTGTGTAAAGCAGATGCTGAGTAGCTTAAGCTAAGGAGATAGTTGTGGAGTGCCTTGATTACCAAGCTAAGAGTATGGACCCATGTACTCTGGAAGGCCAGGGAAAGTTCTTTGCAGGGGACTGACATAGCAGAACCACCATTTAAAAGTGATAGAACAACAGTATGTAGGGAGGCCTTGGAGCAAGGACAAATGGGTAACAGCTTAATTAATACTTGTTGTGCGCTATGTACCATACCCAGTTCTGAATGCTTTACATGCTAATTTAATCCTTAAAGAACTATTTAAGATAGCTGCTTATTTTTCCCATATTAACCTATGAGGAAATTAAAGCACAGAAATATTAGATTAGATTAACTTGCCCGGGTTCACAAAGCTAATAAATGGTAGAGTTGGGATTTGAATGTCGGTATTCCAACTTTTGACTCTTAGAGTCTAGAACCCAAGCTCTTAACTACTCTGCTGCTGCAAGGCTTTTAACAGTTTAGATCTGATGTCATATTGTCAGGGCATTGACCATATTCACAGTGGGAATAAAAATGATTAAATGCCAGAAAGTGAAAAAAGATAAGAATATTAACTTGCTCATTAGGACTTTAGCAAAAAGAGAGGTTCTGTAAGTACTGGAGATTTTAGGATGGTTCATGGA